AACAATATTCATATCTAACTGTGTTCCAGCTGTACTCTGCGATTATGCCAATACTAACATTGCATGTCATGCTCACAACATAAAATACTTGTGAAACTAATCAATTTTGCAAATAAAAGTCAATAAAAAAGCAGGTATAAGGGGCTCAAACAACAGAGTTGAACGTTGACCAGAAATAGATGATACCATTGAAGCTTGTGTTGCCTGATTCTACTCGTGCACATTACTGACTGTAAAATGGTCAATACAGAAAGTGCTCTGCTGAGCCTGATCCAGCTTCTGATGACTGTTATGTGCAGAGGATTGAAAGAGCACTGAGTCAAACTAAATAAAATAAAAATAGATGGAACCACCAAAAAACATGAATAAGAGCGATATATCATATCACGCCAAACTTTGAGAGACACAGAGGAAACCCAGACAAGACATGAAGCTCAATGATCGACTGAAGCGAAGAGAAGATTTTGAGACTAAATGGACTGGAGTGGATGAGGAGATGGGAGCCAGGTGGCTTAATGGTAACAGGGAACAGGTGTAGATGGGGGTGGTAGGACTAAGGAGCAGAAAATGACTGAAAAATAACAGGAAACACACGACGGAAAAGACTGTACACCAAGAAAATACAAAAAAATCACTGAAAATAAACAACATGAACGCCAAAACAGACAAACACTGAAAACACAGCTCATGACATGGAACAGTGGAAATGTTGTGATGTTATTTTTTTTTGGGGTCTGATTTTACTGTAATAAAAACTTTTAGATTGTGTTACCATTCCATAACAAATACATGCGAGTCTCAACTAAAAATATATATTTGCATTTATACTGTAAGTACTTGGGTGTACACCTGAATGACAACCTCAGCTGGGGCAACAACACCACCAGCCTGATGAAGAAAGCTCATCAGAGACTCTACTTCCTCAGACGGCTGAGATGAGCTGGTCTGGGAGCTCAGTCCTCACCTCCTTCTACAGGTGTGCAGTGGAGAGCATCCTGTGCTCCAGCATCAACGTGTGGCATGGAGGCTGCACAGCTGCAGAAAGGAAAGCTCTGCAGAGAGTGGTGAAGGCTGCACAGAAGATGTTGGAGTCAGTCTCCCCACCATCACAGACATCTACACCTCCAGATGCAGGAAGAGGGCCACCTGCATCATGAAGGACCCCACACACCCAGCACACACACTTTTTGTCCCACTCCCATCAGGAGGTTGAGGAGCATTAAGTGTAGAACCACTAGACTGAGGAACAGCTTCTACCCTGATGCTGTTAGACTCATGAATCTCTAACTAGAATAATCACTGTGAAAAAATGACATCATGTTGCTGCTGATCAGTTTCATGTTGCTGCTGATCAGTTTCATGTTGCTGCTGATCTGTTTCATGTTGCTGCTGATCTGTTTCATGTTGCTGTGTTTATTCATATTCATCTTTTCCCACAGACTCATGTTCGTGCTGCTGTTCGGCATAATGTTGTTGTACTACTAGTGCTTAGCGTATTTTTAGTTTAACGTTTTTCTTAGTTCATATCTTAGATCTTATTACTGTTTTTCTTTTACATTTTAATACTTTTGTTGGATGTAACTGGGACCCTGTGTACACAATTTTGTTCCACCATATGTACCACATGTGATGCAAATGACAATAAAGAAACTTGGATCCTTGAATATTTCAAAAAATACATAAAATATGGTTTAAGCTGCTACTTTTTGGATTTTAAGAGACCTCAAAGGAGACAGCATGCCTCTTGTTGAAGACAAGCCCTCTGATCTGATTCAGCAAAGAACGCTTCAGTAATAAAGACATAAAAGGGAAATGTTCGGAACAGAGCATTGGCAACAAGCGCACACACCCACTGCGTTGCTCCGTGTGTTTGTCAGACTGATAACCTCCAGATGTTTGCTGCAGGCCTTCAAATTGCCCCCGAAGTGCTTGGGAGTCCTACGAGCCGAGAGCTTCCAGCTGGTCCCGCCTGCCTTCGGGTCTGAGGGACCCCCAGCACAACGGGGACACGCTAACTGACTTCTTATTGTGTGTTCAAGTGCGCACACACATGCAAATAGGGACAAACAGACAGATGCACCCATGGCTATGTTCTTGCTTTTTGATTTTTGATGCCATCATTGTACGCACGTGCCTTTGTCAAGGCTAGCACGTGATGTCCCATGCGTGTGCGTCATGTGTGTATTCACACACATTAAAACTGGCAAAATATAATTCCCTAATAAGAAAATGCCGTAGCTTCCCCGAAGAGTTTGTTCCATATTTTCTTTCTTTTCTTTGTAATTCTATTACTGTCATATTGCCAACAGCATTTCATCTGCCGTGCCGTTTGAACGTGACAGCCACGTGCAGCCGTGATGCAGATATCATCCACGAGCAGACTCACAATAAGAGAGATCTCTCTTCGACTGTCTGTCTGTCTCTTCTTCATTTCTTAATGTTTTTTATAAGAATGTTGAGGCCCAACCAATGAAATATTTCAACCTCGTTATCATCGGGTCTTCATCAGCAGGCGGATGGTTGTGTGTGGAGTCTATTCATTCATTGTATTTTTCTTCTGATAGCTGTGAGGAAAGATAAGGATGTTATCGGAGGAGCTGTACACCGAGCAGGGCTGCAGCGTAACTCTTCCTATTCACTCACACGGAACGTCACAAGAATGAGCTTTCATCTTCATTGTCGGCTGTTTTTTAAATTTAAATGACTATTTTATTGTTTGTTTTTATTATCGTTGCCACCAAAAATGGTACTAATGTGCCTTTCATGTACTTAATGTTTTTGCCCATGTCTGTGTGTCTGTGACTATTTGGTAGCAAAATGTGTCATAAACAGCCAGTGACATTTTAATTAAACTGGAAATAATTACTGATCATGATGAACAGTCAACTCAATTCAACATGGCTGCCACAGCCAACCAACCTTAAAAACAAAAATAACTCAATCAGGTTTACAGATACTGATCTAAAATTTGGTATGGTAGTAGCTGACATTGATCTTCTAAACATTCTGAGCTTAAACAGAATGCAAAATATATTACAGTAGTCCCTCGCTACTTCATTGATTGCTTTCATGGACTCAGTCTATCACGGTTTTTCAACATAAGATTGAACATGACACACAATTGGCTGATTGATGGACGAGCCGTATGATTGACATGGAATTTTGATTCAAAATAAATAATTTTAAATTATTTAGCACTTGCTGTTCCTTTGTGCAGCCCACAGCTGCAGAAAAAAAACTTCCCCCTGCAACTCTGTGCAGCCCATGCTGCAGGATAAGCTTCTTCCTGCAGCTGAACAGCTGACCAGCTGTTCTCCGTGCAGAGCGGAAAAGTGGGCGTGGCCAATAACGCCTGCAGGTGACTGAGAGCAGCGGAGGCACAGAGAGGAAAATCATGACATTCTGTGCTCTTTGGGAGCGTTTTGAGCTCTTTGGGAGCATTTTGAGTTTAGAAACATTGTTCTGAATATTGCAAGAGTGTGGGAAGGGTTTAAAATGCCTATATACATATATATATATATATGGCACAATATCAATGAATGGGTCTGTCTTCATACATAAGGCGCATTAAGCAAAACTAAAACATTTTGACAGATTTTTAAGCACCGTGTACCACATAAAATTGGTTCGAGGTCAGTAAACGCAACAGGAATTAATACATAAGGTGCACTGGATTATAAGGCTCACTGTTGATTTTTGAGAAAATTAAAGGATTTTAAGTGTGCCTTATAGTCCGAACAATACGGTATGTTAAAACTTGGTGTAGTTCTAGCTGAGATCAAACAACAAGACATAAACTGAGCTCAACGTTGAACCAAATTTCATAAAACTGCATTATTTTATATTCAAAATTGCTACAACTCCATCATTTCTCTACATACGATGATCCTGTTCTAAAACTAAACTTAAAGCATCAGGTGTCATGCATTTTTTTCCATGTTGTTTGAATTTAAAATTAGCATTAGCAAATACAGCCAAACCTTTGTGCACTGCACAAATTCACAAATCTAATATGACTCCAGTTGGTTTGTGTGAACGTTCTGGACGAGTGCAGCTGAAACAGAAGTTCCTTTATCTGCAGCACACATCTGGTCCTCTCACCCATCCACACTCTCGGCCAGCTCGGCCCTCAGTTGGCTGTCCTGCTCAACTCCTTCTCTCCAGCTGCTGTAAACATACCGAGTTGAAGCGAGAAAGTGGACAATACTCCCTGCTTTAGCTCGAGCGTGGCTCGTGGACCTCCTCTCTGCTTGGACGCAGCAGCAGGTGCGTCCTGATAGGACGAACTGCTGGCGGTGTTTGGTGCTGCGGCGTGTTCGCGGCTGCTCGTGTGCACGCTCGCCTGTGTGGTCCAGGTGGGATTAACAGGAGGATTTTCACTGTGCTTCAGGTGACAGCGACACACACACAGTGAATGTGTATGTGTACTCAGGGCGCAGACTCCACAATAGGATTATGTGGATTACAGCAATACAACCATATTACACATGAGAATAGCATAAAGGATTGAGGGGAAAATATTCTTTTACACACCCTCCTAACCCTTATTTCACCAGGCAAATGGTGTAGGAACACAATCTTTTCTGTACAGATATAGCTGGAGGATATTACCCCTGCAGGGGGGTGAGGGGTTTTGCATTCAAACATTCCTACAGATAAACTGAAGGCTGAATTTCTGTAAAATGTTGAAAGCTTTCTAAAAAAAAAAGAGAAATATAGCTCTGATTTTCTGAGACAACGAAAAAGCTGGGGTTAAAAACGCTAAACATTATCCTTCAAATACAAAAGTAGGAAACGGTGTTTGTCTCCGTACTCAAACGTTTCATTACTACCTTTGCTGCGTCATTACCAAGCTTCAAATACAAAAAGAACTACTGCGCTCATTTGCCTCAGCCAGTTTGAAGTGTAAAGTCATATACTGCAGACAATAACAAACAGCATGCAAAGTTATTTCATGCACGAGGCGGCCTCATAAAATATGTTTCCCTGTTTCTTTTCAGATCACCTTTGAAGAAATGCTGTCGAGAGTGTGGGACTCCCAGCCCAGAGTTATCAAGTTTTCTCGGAAACATCAGAGAGGCTCCTCCGCCAATGGGCTGAGGCGACAGAAGAGAGACTGGGTCATCCCTCCCATCAATGTGCCTGAAAACTCCCGAGGACCCTTCCCTCACATGCTCGTCAGGGTGAGTGACGCTATCATTTTCGCAGATGCCACAAATCAGTTTCTCGAGGTGAAATGTTTACGGAAGTTTTTTGTTTTTTTTCTAGAACTTGCAATCACAGAGAAATAAAGGTTTAAATAATTTATTCAGGTCAAGGAAAAACAATAGGGAAGATGATAAACTATAACTTTCACATTCACCAAGAAGCCAAAAGACTCGGCGTTCTTATGTCCGTGATTAAAGTCATAACCACAGCTAATCTGTCTGCTGAGTCTCCGGGCACCAAAAGACAGGAAAACAAAAGTCTATGTATTAATTATATTAAATAGTCTATTATAATCTATGACTGAGAAACACTTGTGCACACTTTTCTTGGTTTCAGACGTAGAAACTTAAAGATTACTTCTTGTAATAGCTGGTGAGCTCTGTCACTTTCTTTTTTTCATGCAGTCACTGTTCGGCAGTAGAAAAACTTTATGGCGATGTATGAAAGATCCAAGTTGGATCAATTTATTGTCAATTAAATAATCCTACCTGCTGTACGACCCCTTCCGTCTGTGTGGTGACCCCACTAAGTATGTTTCTTTCAGCTGCTCCCTTCTTCATAGGCTGCCACACTAAAATGTAAAAAAAAAAAAAAAAAAAAAACAGTTTGTGGATGGTGTTTGCTGGGTCTTGGAGGGGTCTTCAGGCGTGTTTTACAAGTGCAGTGAATTCCCCATTACGACTAACTTTAACTTTATAAACTTTATTTTCATTCAAAATTGTACAGTGCACCATGAAAAACTGAACAAAATGTTGTTCCATTTCTCCACATCAGTGTAAGAGTGCATCATTTTATAGACTTTGGTGTTTAGAGCAGAAGATTCAATTCTGGTGCTGATACAACATAATGTGCAAATGTTAGTGAATGTTCCTATATACACCTAGATATATGATACATTTATACATGCACGTACAGATATCTACATATATGTGTACACAATACACACAGCATCCATGCCTGAGTGAAATCCCATATACTGCTTGTTTACTGAGGTATGTCTGTGGCTGTGTGTGTTTTCTATTGTGGTCACTTCATTAGTGACCTGAGTTCAGCAGAATAGCAGCTCGTGGGATGAAACTGTTGCAGAACCTGGTGATTCTGGTCTACAGACTGTGGTGCCTCCTACCAGAGGTCTACAGAGTAAACAGTCCATGTAGTTTGTGTGAGTTGTCTCTTTTGATTTTATTCGCTCTGGTCACACACCGTCTGAGACCAGTGTCCTGGATGGAGGGGTGTGTTCATGATCTTCTCCACCATTCTCACCACCCTCCTCAGATTCTTCCAGTCTGCAACCATGCATCTTCCTTCCCAAACTGAAATGCAGCTGGTCATGATGCTCTCTGTATTATGGGTGATGAAGTGTAATTCATGTACAATATATTTAGCTTGCACCCAACATTTTTAGTGAGGTCATAGTGTTATGTATATGTTACTACTCTGGTAGCATATTGGCTGTATGGGTGGGCAGTGTTTGCAGCATATCTGTGATCTGTGTGCACCAGCATGGCTTGGTTGTCAAGCACTTGAAGCACGACCCATCACGCTGGTTTAATGGTTGGGCTACATTATTGTAAGTAATGGAAACCACAGACATAAATACGTAGATGCCTTGTTGAGTGGGCTGGCTCGTTGCAGCGGTATGTCAGAGCGTCCGCCATTTTAAATATGGCGGAACTGCCAGTCAACTAATATAAAGAAATGGACAGAACTTCATAAAGCACCGTTCTAGAAAGTGTTTGAAGTTGAACTAATGTATTTGGAAAACAAACAGGCACCACAGACAACATTTATAACTTTTAACGTTAAAATCACTATTGAAAAAAAAATATATATATAATCACTGTAATGACACTTTAATTGGACATTTGTTATTGTATCTGTGCTGCGGATTTCTTTCGCATAAGCTGTTATATTCATATCCCATCTGCTCACAACTGACTCATGTTCAGGCTGCTGTTTAATGCACCTTATTTATTATATTATATTATTTTTGTTTAGTGTCTGTCTTAGTTCTTTGTATGCTGTTTCTTTTTTTTCTTTAATATACTTTATATTTTTGCTATTGCTAGATGTAACTGGGACCTTGTGTATGCAATTTTGTTCCACCTCGTGTATCACACGTGATGCGAATGACAATAAAGCCACTTTGAAGATTTTAAAACAAATTATTTATAATTTTTAATGGTTGACCCGGATCTTCAAAAAGGCAATTAAATGCTAATTTTGATCAGTTTATTATATGAAAACCTGTTGAATCACCTCTGTTTACTCCCATAACTAGAGCCTCATAGATTCCTCTAGGGATTTCTGATTTAATCTCGTTTATCGCGTGGGTTACATTCCAGAGACCCCCGTAAGTGAAAAACCACGAAGCAGAACTATTGTATTTATTTTAGTATTTTTATATATATTTAAGGCTTTATACCCTTCCTACACACTTGCAATGTTGGACCTCCAAGCTACGCCTCCCTACTGGCCGGCAAGCAGCACTCATATTGACTGATGAGGCTGCAAGTTGTTCTGGTCTGGTTTTGGTCCAGCTCTGATCATCTCTCTGCATCCACTGAGCGCCGAAGTCACTATGACTAAGGACCAATTTTTTTTTTTGCTTCTTGTTTTTTAGTAAGGTTCGGTAGAATCAAAACATTCCCTCTATTTTGCAGAAAGCAGCGACTGGAAGCACTGTTGACTTCTGGGTAGTGTAGTTCTTTTGACTGGCGGTACTGCCTTATTGAAAGAAAACAAAAAAATGGTGGCGCCTGTCTGTAGTTTTTTAAACTTTTTATCTCGCACTGTCCCAATCAGTGAATAATATTAAAGTTGATAATCTTTGAAAAACTGCAAAAGAGCGAGTCCACGAAAGTCGAACCGCGACGTAGCGAGGGACTACTGTACCACCATGTTATATTGCTTATGTAGACCCTTACCTTTGATTGACACCTCTTTTGATCAACTGGGTTGATCTATGTTCTCTCCAGAACCAGTACTATCTAGTGTGTCCCAAATGCATGCTAGTTATAGTTACAATAATTTGACTGCACATCCTCTGAGTTCAAACAGCATCCAGTTTTCTTTGGGTATGTTTTTTCCAGGGGTTTGTGCCAATGTTTGGCGACTGTTAAGCAGTTAAAAGCAAAACATAAATAATATGCAGTATATCAAACTTGAACTACCCAGTAATTATAAATGTAACTACATAATAAGATCAAGTGTGTGACTAAAAATACAACAAACCTAAATAAATCTAGTTTCTTGTGGAGGTGCTGCACTCCTGTAGCTCTTTGCTTTCCCTACTTTAATCTCTTCACACTCACTGCCTCTTATCAGTCACCCACACAGACAGGCAGCTTTTCGCGGGCATTTTTGACACACGCAAATGGAAACACACACACATGTAAAGTCTTTTGCACACACTTGTACACCATGGCTTACATTCCCAGATTACAGAAATCGCCTTACACCAATATGTCGACGAGCGAGCGCATTTTCCACCAAAGCATGGATACGCTCACCCTCGCTGACACACAAAGCAGGTCGCCGAGTGTCACAGGAGGCACGAAATTGTCCTGCCCTGCTGGAGAAACGGAGCCCCTTTTATCCCCTTTTCATGTCGGGTGTCAGCTGGTCGGATTAAACGGGGACCTCCTCCGAGCGCCATCATGTCAGTGTTGAGGTTGGGTTAGTTTGAATGTGAGTCCGTATCTCCATCAGATTGCCCGAGCTGTATTTGAACACAGTTCGCCTCAGCCTTTAGCCACGGCTGAAAGCAGTGCAGCATGGGTGGTATATTTGTTGCTCTGTGGGTTTGTGTGTTCCCAACTCTTTCCCGCAGCACAGCTCTCCGTTCTGTCGAGCAGCCAAGGAGACGAGCGAAGGGGGAGCGTAAGCTTTTTCTTGTTGGTCTCAGATGCGGCCGAGAAGAATCTTTGAAAGTTTACGTCTGGTTCTGAAAACACAGCCGCTCTCCTGTGCTTCACCCACGGGGATTTCCAGGCTTAAAAGAAACGTTTGGCCATTTTGAAAAGGGTTTCTGTGTAAAGTCACATGTCTGTGTTTGTTTGCATGAACCACTGTGAAATATTAAAGATTGTTGTTGTGGCTTAGCTAGCTATTTTCAGCTCATCATTTAAGTTCAAGTACCCACTCCCAAAGCGGTTTGATATTGTTTTATAACAGCTTCAGTTTTCAAAATGTCCCATCAATTCTCAGTAACGTGATTATTCAAACCTTTACACCATCCTCAGTCCTGCATGACGTGGTCATTTCTGCAGAAACATTACAGCAAACGTGACCTCTGGATGCTCTGGAGCTGCTGCATGTCTCTGATGCTGACGATATTTATGCTTGGAAATAACCACGTAATGTAAAATTGATGATGGTGTACATGTTGACATAAGAGCATTCACATGTACCTGTATGAAATTTGTTTTAAAACGACAGCGATGCCCTTTGGTGATGGCTGCGTTTGACATACCCATTAGCTCATGTCTTGTGCTTTTCCAAACTGAGGCCATTCGAGATGCTATTTTCACCTGATCAAGTATTAATTATTTATAATTGTCACACAGAAACACACTTCAATTAGACTTTTAGGCCTCATTGATAGATGTTTTAAAAAAGACTAAATAACTTTGAGGGTAACGACCACATTGGAGATGTTAAATGATGAAAATATGTCAAAAGAGACGCACAATGGTCTTTACTTTGATTCTATTAGAGCACTAAAGAACTGTGACACAGCGTGTAATAGCAGGTTGTTGCAGCTTTTCTGCCGTAAGATGTTTCCTTCATCCCACACTCACAGATTCATCAAGGCACGAGGAGCAAAATCCTCTAATGTGCTGCAGAGGAGTTTAATTGTTAACAATAATCCATATGATTCTCCACTCATAATTTACCCCATTATGCTGTTGGAGTATAACGCAGCCACTTACACACACTCACACGGAGGTGGAATGGAACACGTGCAGCTCGG